TAGTTTTGTTGCTCAGGTGGACTCTTCAGGATTAGTTTGTCATCTTCGAAAATCCTTATATGGTCTTAAACAATCTCCAAGAGCTTGGTTTGGTAGATTCAGCATCTATGTCCAACAGTTTTTGGGATGATTCGAAGTGAAGCTGATCACTCAGTTTGTTATTACCACTCAGCCACAAGATGCATTTATTTGGACGATATTGTTATCACTGGCAGCAGCGTAGTCAAAATCGCGATCTTACTCGTAAGATCAGACGATTTCACGAGCTTTTGCAGCGCCTCCGATCCCGTTCCTGCCCTGCGACGCGATTTTTCAAGATCGTTGGGATCGCACGATCTTCCTCGTGAAATCGTGGAAGCGTGCGATCCTGGACGAGTTTGGTGGAGCCCCATATTCTTTAAAAAACTCGATTACCCGATTTGACCCAGCCTTTTTTTTTTACCCGACTTATTTAATCTTAGATGTTAAGGTTTTTTTTTTTTCGTTCTTCCCTTTTCGCTGCCCCTTTCTCCACGACGCAGTGTTTTCTTCCTCAACACAGGCGACGACGACCCAAAGTTTTCTTCCTCAACACTGCTGCCGACTGCGACCCAAAGTTCGTCAGCACTGCCGACCGCGACCCAAAGTTCCTCAGCACCGCCGACCGCGACCCAAAGTCTTCTTCCTCAGTTCCCAACCCACACTCTCTTCTTCTTCAGCACACTTCCCTTCTTCCTTAGACTCATGACGCACATTTCTCTTCTTCTCCAATACAGCGAATCTGTTTTCCCCATTCTCTGTCCTGTTTGAAGATGTCTGCACGTGGAAAAAGTATACCTGCAATCCAGAGAGGGCAACCAGAAAGTAGGAGAGTGGTTGCAAGTCTTACCATTGGTCACACTTCTACTGGCTCAGTGAGCTGCTCTGTTGGTGCAGTTGTGGCCGGTTCTTTGCGAAAAAATGCTCCTGGAAACAGGAGTGATGTGGCATGGCAACATGGATCGTCTGTGGATGGAGATGCACGAAAAATTCAGTGTAACTATTGTCGAAAATTAATAACTGGTGGAGTTTACCGATTAAAACATCATCTGGCTGGAACACAAAAAGATGTGGGTGCTTGTTCTTCGGTTAGTGATGAAGTGAGGAGAGAAATGTGGCTCGTTGTGTCCTCCTTACAAGAGAAATTAATGAAGAAATCAAATAGCAAACTCAACGAACTTCTTGGAGAAGGTGATGGTGGGAGTGATTCTGGTGAAAAAAGAAAAGGGGGTGAAGTTGAGGGCAGTGAGAACATTTTCAAGAAGAGAGGAGTAAGTAATCAAGTCACTCTCAATAACATATTCAAAAAAAAATTGAGAGAGGAAGTGTGTCAAGATATTGCTTCTTTTTTTTACAACAATGCCATACCATTCAATGTGGCAAGGAGTGAAGAATTTCATAAGATGTTGGAATCGGTGACAAAATATGGGCTTGGATTCAAGCCACCTTCCTATCATGAAATCAGAGTCAAGTATTTGAAACATCATGTGAATTTGACCACGCAAGCTATTGAAGCACATAGAGAAGAATGGAGAAAAATAGGATGCACAATAATGACGGATGGCTGGACCGACAAGAAAAGGAGAACTATATTGAATTTTTTAGTTAATAGCCCTATGGGTACAGTATTTTTGACTTCAATTGATGCATCTCATATATCTAAAACAGCTGATAAATTGTTTAAAATGATGGATGACATTGTAGAGGAGGTTGGTGAAGAAAACGTGGTTCAAATTGTAACTGACAATGCAGCAAATTATAAGGCTGCGGGTGAATTGTTGATGGAGAAAAGGAAGAAATTGTATTGGACACCATGTGCTGCTCACTGTATAGATTTGATATTGGAAGATCTGGAGAAGAAGTTACCTATTCATCAAGAGACAATCTCAAAGGGGAAAAAAATTACGACTTATATTTATTCAAGGACTTCCCTAATTTCTTTATTGCAATTCTTCACAAAGGGAAGGGATTTGGTGAGACCAGCCATAACTCGCTTTGCTACGTCTTATCTTACTTTGGGATGTCTTCAAGAGCATAAGGGAGCATTGGTTAGAATGTTCACATCTGATCAATGGAAGACTAGCCGATTTGCTAAATCAACAGACGGAAAGTTTGTTGAAGATGTAATTATGGATAAAACTTTTTGGAAAGGTGTTGTTGTTTGCTTAAGAGGTGCATATCCTATAATCAAAGTTCTTCGTTTGGTTGATTCGGATGAGATTCCAGCTATGGGATTCCTTTATGAGGAAATGGACCGAGCTAAAGAGAAGATAGCAAAGGCCTTCAATGAAAGTAAAAAAAGGTAAATAAATTATTAAATTTAATTAAAAATTTTAGTTATTTTTTTTTGAAAATTAATTTAATTTTTTTCATATATTAGTTATCTCCCTCTATGGAATGTCATTGATGAAAGATGGGACAATCAACTCCATAGGCCATTGCATGCTGCAGCTTATTACCTCAACCCTTTTTTACACTACAGTCCTGGTTTTAAAGTAGATTTTGAAGTTAAACGTGGATTATATGATTGTATAGAAAGGATGGTAGAAAATGATGAAGAAATGACTAAAATTGATGCTCAACTTGAAGATTTCAAGGCAAAAAAGAAATTTTTTGGTGGCAAGGCAGCCCTAAATGCACTTAAAACTAATATCAAAACTCCAGCACAATGGTGGGAATCTTATGGAGATGGACATCCAGAGCTTCAAAGATTTGCTATTCGTATATTGAGCTTGACATGTAGCTCCTCTGGATGTGAGCGTAATTGGAATGCTTTTGAGATGGTAAGATTTTAAAACTATGATAAATTACATTCTTTTTCTTTACCTATTAAAAACTAGCAAATAATCAATTGTATTTATATATTTTTTAGGTCCACACAAAGAGACGAAATCGTTTGAAACAACAAACTATGAATGATGTTGTTTATGTGATGGCTAACTCAAAATTGGCCAAGAAAAAGACATCCAGAAAAGCTATGGAGTTTAATCTTGATGATCTTTCATCTAATGATGAATGGATTATGGCCAATGAAAGTTCATCCAATGGTGATGATTTAGAAGTTGATGACTTATTGGACTTGGATTTGAATCCAAATGAACACTTGGGTCAAGTTGGAAATGATTCCAATGATGTTGATGATGATCCTATAAATTTAGATGATTTAGAGATTCCTCCTTTTGATGATGATCTTGATGGAGTTGGAGATGAAGAAAATGAAGACCTAATAGAAGATGATTATTATGATCAAAACTTGAATGATTTGTTAGAGTAAAAAATACCAATGTTGGACACTTTGACTAGTTTGTTTTTACTTTAGTACTATTGAGTTTTATGTGTAATTTGACTTGAGAATATATTTATTGTCATTAATGTTTGAGTTGTGATTGTCTTTTATGAATTTAAGACTACTGGTTCCTTATTTATCTTCTTTTTTGTATGCATTTGTATGTTTAAATATAGTTTTATACATTAGGTATGATCTTACGATCCACTCTACGATCCTACGAGTTACATGTTTTCCTTTCCCTTCCGATCCTAAGTAGGATCTCGATTTTGACTACCTTGACTGGCAGTGATCATCATGGCATTATACAGTTGAAGAAACACTTATGTCACCATTTTCAAACAAAAGACCTTGGAAAAACTTTGATATTTCTTGGGAAAAGAGGTGGTACAATCCAAGCATAGTATTGTAATTTCTCAAAGGAAGTATGCATTAGATATATTGGAGAAAACAAGTTTAATGGGAGCCAAATCTGAAGATACTCCCATGGATCCTATTTCTAAACTTTTACCAAGTCAGGGGGAGCCTCTTGTTGACCCAAAAAAGTATAAAAGATTGGTTGATAAACTAAATTATCTATCAGTTACTCAACTCGACATCTTTTTTGCTGTTACTGTGGTAAGTTAGTTTCTCAACACTCCCTATGAAGGACATTGGGATGCATTGATTCGCATCTTGAAGTATATCAAAGGTGCTCCAAGAAAAGGTCTCCTGTACTAACACAAAATTCCTCTCGTGCTTTCTTGTTTTCTCTCATCTCAACAGACATATTTTGAAATTTGGATGAACTAACATATATCCTATGAAACTATGGTGTGATAACCAGGCTTCCATACATATTACATCAAATACAATTTTTCATGAAAGACCAAAACACATTGATATAGTTTGTCATTTCATCCAAGAGAAGGTTTAATAAATTCTTACATCCACCTATAATATGCGTAGTGATTTTATTTGTAATAAGCTGAGCATGATTAATATCTATGCTCCAACTTGAGGGACTGTTTGAGAGTTATTATTTAAAGGTTAATAGGGTAGAGTATGGAGTATATGGACTCAGCCAACCTGTGTACTATGCACCTAACTTAGTAATATAATATGGGGGGTTGCTACACTTTCTTACATCTCTCCTTTTTGCTTTTCTCTCTCTACTTACTTTCTCTCTTCTCAACATTCCTGAAATACACAAATGAATTATATGTGATCTCAGTATATCTTTACAGGTTCTAAACTACCAAATGGTTTCATTCATTATGTTTCGATTGTTTAAGAAACAACATCCACAAGCATCTATGTTCAAGAAATATTGACGTGTAGTAACTATTCAAATAATATGCGCACACAGAAAATCTCAAGTTTAACTAATAATGAATAGGGATGATTACAAGGAAGGGAAATTTGACAATTTTTTAATTTAGGAATAATTAACCACTGATTGGTTGACAAAACTCACTACTGGTGAATGAGCAACCACTTATGGACCCAATTAATCCCTTAAGCAGCTAAATATTTCTACCTTTTTTACTAAGATCTCTTTTTCAGCTATTTGGCCTAAATATTGCCGCTAATAACCAAATCAATTAGGCTATTAAAATTGTCAACAAAAGCATGACAGTAGATGATACATAAAACAGTATATTCTATTTTAAATAGGGGTATGTGTGACTGTAAAGCATTTATAATAACAACTCACTAGGGCATTTCTTAAAACCCCTGCAGCAAGAAATACAGGTTGCTCAACATGACAATAACCCATTAACCGGGGAACTGTAGGTATAATATCTCTGTGATTCACAACTCGCCAGCTGTCTTTAACTATCTGCAAATAGTGATGCAAACCAGTTAACTGTTTTACGAATGTATAGACTACAGCGAAAAAAAAAAAAACTCCTTTATCTAACATGTGATAAAAGATAAAATGCCTCTAAGTTAAGATTATTAATAGTTTGCCATGATTTTTCACCTTATGCTCAGTTGATTCAGTGCTTTGGGAGTGTAATATTTTTTGTAATATTGCTTAGATTATTTGTTGTAAGCATGGATTGTTTATGCAATTTAAACATAATTCAGATTATTAAAAATTTGAAGGACATAATGGACAATCAATTCAGGAAATGAAAACATCAACAAAATAGTCATACTCTTTTCTAACCTCATTGTAAACTTCTGCAAATCTTTTGTTACCAACTCTAGGAGAACCGAAGTTATACATAGAAATAGAAATTGTTCCCTGCCTAGTAGACAAAAAAAATAGATTACTGCATACAGTAATATCCATGAATATAGAATGGGGCAAAAAGAATGAACATCAATAATATGTGAATTAATTTGCAGTTTCTGTACTTTTCTGAGAACTTTTAGGTCCTTATAGTTTCAGCATCTTCTTTGATGGGGTCCCGTAATCCAATCTAGGGTCTATGTAGATACCCAATTGGAAGTTTTTGAAAATATACAGACTGATTCGTAGGTTTTAAAAATAGGGCCCCATTTAAGAAATTACAAATCGTCAAGATCTCAAATTTAATAAAACTAAATGTAACATTTCCAGGGGCAGGCTAAATAGGGAGAAAACGTAGCAAATGAAGTGGGTAAAAAGATCAGCAATTTTTAGTGGCATCTATCTACACATAATGCATGTTTGGCATGGATTATAATCAATGATTATAATGTTTCCAATAAAAAAATTGTTTATAATCTTGTTCTCTCTAGTTTCTTAATCTAGTTCTACCCATTTTTTATAATTTTATCATAAAAAAAAAACAATTCTTTTAGAAAATTCAAACAAAGTACATTATCTTAAAATCACTTTTTACCTAACATATCAAAGCATAGAACTTATTTATAATCAATTTAACATAATGAGTACAACAGACAGCAAAGAGTTAATCAATGTAAATAATATTTTGCCCATAAATACATGTAAATGCATGCTCATGAACATAACAGGCACTTAAAATAAATTATAAATGGAAGAAATGCATGAGAAATAATAAACTTACTTAGCTAATTGATTAGATGAAAGTTCAAGAGCAAGCAAGGTTGCCAATGCGCCACCCAAACTATGACCAGTCACATAAACATGCCATTTGTGGAGTGACTCTGAATGATCATCTCTGGCACAAAATATATCTTTCGTTTGTCAATGCGAAATCAAATTGAGATGTACTGTCATAACATTGACAAGAACTAGAAACACAACAGTAATTGTATTGCACAAATGATCTGGTTCAAAGACTAGATTTGCAGTACAAGCACTCAGCACAGACGTTCCCCCCTTCAGAACACCAGAAGCAACAAATTGACACCTTAATTTCCTCTTATATGTATCTGTCAAACCATATGTGTAATAACACTACAGCTGTCACATCCTAAATCATAAATGCCAAATATAGAACTTGGCCTATCACATAGTACTATGTAAAATAAAAATAAGATATTGATGACAATTCAATCCACCAGGCAATATATGACCATTACTGCTTTCTCCAGGAGAAAAATAAAGGAAAATGTTGAAATGTTCTGTTTGAGTTAGCAACTAGACTCAATAGCTATCACAATTGCAGCTTCTTCAACCATCTAAGAAATACAGATATGTTACAAGTAATAAAATCATTGATGTGCCTTCCCCTTTACCACTTAAACTTTAGGGAAGGTTCATGACGTATATCAAATCCTCCTTAACCAAGTATTTAGGATTTCAATCCTCCAATAATGGCCCATTCTTCTAAATAAAAAACAAATTTCAGCAAATAGTAAAAAGGGGCCAGTAACCCTTCGAGTCCAATGGACTCTTGTGTGAGGTGCTTAGAGATGAAATAAAGCCATTCATGGACCTATACCCACAATGTAAGCTTTTGGGATAGTTGGTTCGTGACAATATCTAATTTGTTTATGTTGTCACATCATCCGTATAAATACACTTAATGGTACACTTAATGACTCACTCTAAATTTAAATTTGGAAAGTGAAGGTACACATGTTTTTAAGGCGGCTGCATGGTGAGGATTGCCTTAACCCTTATAAACTCCACTTTAGCCATAGCCATTCTTGTAGTCGATGTGGAATCTCAACACAGTTGGGGGAGATTATAGGACTGATTTCTTTTAATACTGCACTGAGAAAGCCATGGAACCTGGTAGATTGCACTAGAAAAGCTACAGGGCTAGGAAGGTTTACTTGAAAATACACTGGCTAAGTTAATTGCACTAGCAAATTCCATGGGGCCAGGGCATTTTTTGCAGTTAAAGGGGTTCAATATTGAATGTCTTAGAATATGGCATCTCAACACACTCCCCACACCTAAGATTGGACATTTGAGGCATGGAGATTATAGGGCTGATTATATATATATTGCAGTTGGAAAGACACAGGACCAAGTACATTGCATTGGGAAAATCACAAGGCCAGATAAGTTGCACTAAGAAATCCACAGGATACGTGAATTTCCAGGAGAAATCCATGGGGCCAGGTTGTTTTCTTTTCATTTTTAAACAGTCAAAGGTGGCCTAATATCGGATCTACAATAAACTTTGATATTGTCTTAACTCAACTCCAAAAGCTAGCTCATAAAGAGATGAATGTGCTAACCTTTATAAGTTCTACTTTAACCATATCTATAGTTGATGTGGGATCTCAACAGTTTATGTCACATCATCCATAAAAAACACTTAATGACTCACTCTAAATTTAAATTTGGAAAGCAAAGGAATACAGAATGTTTTTAAGGCAGTTTGCTGGGTGCAATAAAATTTCTTTAAGTACAACTTACACATAACCAATTGCAAGTCGAATTAGGGAAATAATCCTGGTCCTTACTGAATCATACGCACTCAGAAAACCACTATGAACCTGCAATGACCAGAGCACAGTTAAAAACTGAGGAATCTTATGTTGTAACAGTCTACTAAACATGGCTAACATATATAAATCAGCCAACAATTAACATACTTGAACCTCTTGCTTGAAATCTCCACCTATCCTTTCAGGATTCAGCCTATGGAATAGCAAAGTTAGTTGTTGAATGAAATCATCTGGTGCAATAAAAAAGCATTTTAATTCAATCCCAAAATTAATTATGATCTGTCATAGCACCAATGGATATTTTTCAAAGGTCCCTACAGCAGCATAGCATCAAAAACTGATCCGAAGCAAAGAAAAGTAATTATTTTTAAAAACTTTTTGAAATAATAATAGTGAATAACAACAAAAACAACAATGATGTACTTTTTCAATGAGGAACAAAATAAGATATCTTGTTGGCCCAATATATGCAACTATTGCTTTCTTAACCGTCCACCTCCCCTTTCTAATTTTAATTTACCTCTTTCAATTTTTTTTTAACAATTCTCTTGTTTTGAATTTATTAAATATATCATACAAAAAATCTAAGCGCCATCTAATCTAATATAATTACACTTATCACATACAGGAAAATTTCTCAGAAGATTAAAAATAAGTCAAAGTGGTGAGGTACTACAACCAAAAAGTTAGATATAATCATATAATGACCTGAAAGCAACACACTTTGCGGATAAAATTAAACCAAACCCCGAAAGTGACTAAATAAGTCACAACTAGGTTATAAATGAACATTACCCGGCTGGAACAAGCATTAGATCAGTTCTTAAATCCTTCCATTGAGACTGAAAAACAACAATATAAGCATCTTTAAGATAAACCAAAAGCTGTACTCCACCTAAAAGAACAAGAAGAATTAGAACTACCTGCTCTGTTCCCCTAAAAGCAACCACTAACCTTCTTCGCACAGAATCACGCCAAATTGCAACCTGAAATTTCTGACGATTAAGAAATTTGAAAGCAGTGCATGGAATAAGATATTGCCATTATATCACAAATAGATTTTTGGATATTACAATACCAATTTAAAATTTCATAAAAACTATAGAAATGGAGTTATTGAAGAGATAACAAAACACCTGTGTGTCTGTGGATGCATTATCTAAGAAACATAATTTTTCAAATTCAGACTTAATCAAACTAGGATGGCCCAGAGATGTGGCGAGCATTGCCCAAGCCTCCATAGCACTTTCAGCAGTAGAAAATAGTTTTCTCATCTCTTCAGCTTTTTTATCATCCAACACCAACAGATTTTGGGAGCCAGGAAATTTCTTACTAGTAGAATATAGTATATCATTGCCTCCTGCTTTGATAGAATCTTCTTTGATTTTCCTCTCTTCTGAAGAACGCCCTTCATCGTTCATTTTGGAAACTGCTGCAGTCAAAAGCATTAAACCTCCTAAAATTGACTCAGTCTGCCTCATCAAATTCTCTGTTGCTTTTCTGACCTCTGGAAGTGAAGACTGAATTGCGGCAAGGGCAGGTTGGCCACTTGTTTTATCATTGGTATCATCTGTGCCTCCAGGCATTGCAAGACCAGATTGAACATATATGGCTTCTGCAATATTTTGTGATTGTGAGCCAATTTTGTTCAAAAACTCCAATCCATCCCACTTAAATTTCTCAGGAACAGAAAGACCTAGCTTTTGAACAATATTAGAATTGATAACATTAGCAAAATTCCTCCAAAAAATTTGATTTGACAGCTCTTCCTCACTCACTTTTGTTGATGGTTTTTCTGAAGCATGTCCATTTTCAGTATCACTGTCATGCTTGTGAAACTCATTTGAGTTCCTCTGTTCACTGCGAGTTTCCTTAGAGGCTTCTGAGCTACCAGCTTCATGAGAAGGCATATTAAACACAGAAGCAGATTCATTCAGTTCCCCAGTACCTTCAATGTCATACTTATCATTATTAATATCAGGCATCTGGCCCTTCAGAAGATATGAATTGTTAAAAGACTTTAACTGCCCAAATGCATATTCCACAAATTGTCGAGCTTGCACTGTATCAGAACCAATAACCTTTCTGAATGCAGAATCAAAACCATTTATCTTTAGAAGGTCTGAAACAAAAGGAATCTTCCACCACCTTTTCTCTTCATCAATTTCATCAAAGGTCTTATATTTAACCTAAAATCCAAAATTTATTACTGAAATCAAAAACTTATAAATCATTAAAATACGGCCTCACATTATTTAGACAAGTGCATTTGCCCCAAATTATGCACGTTAGTTAAAGATTTTAAACATATATAGCATATAACTTATCTCAAAAGTCTTGAATGAAGTTTGAGAAAAGTCAAATTCATTAAGCTATATATTTATTCAAAAATACAATACCTTAACAAATGTAAACACATAAATTGGCATACATAATTTGTACCAACATAGACATCATGCTGTCCACTAAAATTTAAATGGTCAATAACTTTGGCCCATATTATAAATCATTATTCTTGAGGTTTTTTTCTTCTTTTCCAATAAAAGTTACATACCTCCAGCTGAACCTTTCCGCCGCCACCCATTCCTTCCAACTCAACCAGTATTTCATGCACATCTCCTATAACAAATTAATCTTTTGTAAATTTTTGCAGTCATAAGTGTAACCATAAATCTTAACTTTATGCCCTCTTGCAAATAAATTCATAAGTAAATTTTTATCCTACTTTTATTGACAATTGAAATTATGAATGTTCATGACATTTGGACATGTCTGAAAGAAAATGGGAGCACATATTCAACCCATATTAAAAATTTAAGCAACATAAGAATATTTAAATATTGCACTAACTGTATCTTACAAGATATTCCAGTCCTCACCATCACAAAGCCATTCCAGATCAACACCTGCATTTCCCATTCGTTTGTGAGGAGTTACAAGGTTTGCATCCCAAGCTGCAACCTAAGATATACTGCCAGTTGTTAGAAGATTGGCATGACTTCACAAAATAATTTTACTTTCTGACTTTTAATTCTATTTATTTTTTAACATATAATTTCACGAGTTTTCAGTTTTGAATCCAAATGATATATCTCAAAGAAGGTGTTTGATTAATTTATAAGCATATACTCCAACGCAGACACTAACATGGCTATGTTTAATATTCCAAAAAACTATTAAGAGACATCATTTTATACAATGTAAGCACTTGGTCTCTTTACAGAAAGATCTCAAAATAAAATAAAATTATATCATATTCACCTTCTCAAACAAATATTCTCAAACAAATATACTAAGTTTTATATTTTTTCTATGGTAATGAGTCTTTCAAAAAAAATTAAAGACGCATCCTTTTTTAATAATACTGGTATGTGTCCATCTATAATGAAGTGTCGGCAAAGGTGTCCGAGCAATATGGAGGTGTCACCTCAAGTGTCTAAATCAAAAAAATAATTTTTAATTGGACACTTAATGAGTATCCAAGAAGTATTGGTGTCGGAACTGTGTCTGACATCGCAACACTTCAAACAAGAGAGGTGTCCATACTTCATAGTTTATAAGACAATACAATCTGCACTTGACATATATGATTTAAGAGAAACGGTAAAGGGTGGAAATTTAAACATGGGACAAAGCTGGCATAGACTAGTATTATTCAAGGAAAACACCTCAGATCCATCACAATCTCATATGACCATTATCATATAACTAAACCTCTATTTGATATTTTCTAAACTAAATATTTCATTCTCATGTTCTCTGAACTAACAACAGGTATTAGTTTCTTACAAGCAAACTAGCAGGTCTTACATGTATATGCATATTCACTACAATTGGTCAATTGCACCAAAAAGAAAAGAAGAAAACTAAATGTTGAATGTGAAGATGCATGAAGAGGAGTATTTTCACAATAAGGATGAGTGGAATGTAAAACAGAAAGAAAAAACCTAGATATATTATAAATAATTTAATGCAATTATTATGTTATACAAACATATAACTTCTATTAGTAACAATCAGAAGTCAAAGGAAAAGAAAAGCAAATGGGCTTCTGCCCTCATGAACAAGAAATACAAGAGAACATTGCATCACCAGGTAATATATATGGTAAAGGATAATTAATGCCTCTAATGTCTTAGCCAGATGATAAGACTGGATCAGAAAATATAGAGAGAAGAAAGAGATGGAGAAAGAACAGTGTGTTTTATTGAAAGAGCCTTCACAGTATTAGGTACATGATAGCCCTAAACTGTTAGATTATGGAATGATTACAGAAAAACAGTTCAGGACTTAGAGAGCCTGAGATCTCACAACCAAAATCTTAACAACTAAATGATCCCATTTACACCCTTTTCTCTCCTTTTATTGTAATTACTCTAAATCATGGGCAGACCTATCTAATTATGTGTCCTTATTTCTTCGAACATACACTTTCTTAATTGTGGGTCTATAACATTACTCCCCCCTCCCCCAACCCTCAAATGAGATTCCCCTTGTCCTCAAGGTGAAAATTTTGAAATTGTTTCTGAATCACCAAATAGGATTCCCACAAGACTTCAAATACATCATAGAATTCATCTAAAATTCTCTGCACTTCCTTTGGACTGGAATAGATTGCACTTCCTCTGTGTCTTGCTAGTTCCTTACATTCTAAAAGGAAATCTTATCCTTCATTTTGGAGGACTTTAAACACAGATTTCAGAGATATTATTACTCTTGATAAAGCTGGTTCACCTCTAAGCAACAATGTTCCATTATTTGTGGATCTCTGAAATTCACTGTTGTGCCTCCTAGTGTAGCTAGATATTCCATCCCTAGAACCATGTCAACTCCTCCCAAGTTGAAAATGAAGAAATTTGTTGAAGATTCCATCCTTGTAATAACAACTTCAGTTGAGGACAGACCCCTTCTCATTTGGTGTTACATCCATCTCCCGCTTCAACTTGATATGTGGGGGTATCTTTGAATTGCAGTCCCTATTCCTTTACCAAGGCTGATGATATGAAGTTGTGCAATGCCCCCACAATCAATCAGAACCATGATCCTTATTTTTATCTCCCTATAATTCAATGATTTCTTCAAAGTGGACTTATGCTGTAATTTGACAATTGAGGCATTTTGAACTCCAAATTATCTTCATCTCAAAGTGATCCTTCAGCATTTTCTTGTATTGTGCCTCCTTCCTCTTTCCTCCAATAACAAAACACAATACTGTCTATTCTTGCACATGTGATCAGCACCATACTTTTCATCACATATGAAGCATAACTCATTCCTCCTTTTCTCTTATAATTTTGCCTCTAACAGCCTCTTAAACCCACGTTCTCACTCCTTGGAACTGTTTCTGTTAGTTGAATATACCACTGAATTTCCTTCCCCTACACTTGAACGATTTTGATTTTTCAATGCTTCAATATGAAAGTCCTCCTTCTTTTGTTCACTTTGTACATCACCCTGGTTCTCTCATCAATTCTTTGAGCAGGTTTCACAATCTCCAGCATTGTTTCAACAGAATGTAAGTTCAATTCTGCCTTCACTTCTTGCAACCATTCAAAAAGATTCCCTAGAGAACCTCTGCCTCTATGCCACACATGGGACCAATGTATGCTTTAAGCTTGAACTGTTTTCTGTGTTCTTCAACAGTCCCAGTTTGTTTTAAACCCACTAAAGATTCATATGTTTTGTCCATCGCTGGTTGAAACCTCTTGACCATTATTGATCTGAAATGGTTTCCCACCAGCAGAGCCATGATAGGTGTTCCATTCCTTAGCTACCTACAGCTGCTAATCTCTCTTCTTCCAGTACCACCTTCAACTTAAATGTACGGCTCTGCAGATTTACCCAGCCATATGTGTTTTTACTGCAGAATAAGGGATTCCCAACCTCCACCGCTTGTCATTGTCATGCTTGTTTCTTGGACTTGATCTTGATCCTTGACCCATTCTTGAAACTCTTCAGTCAGCCCCATTCTGCTCGTCTTCACTGTTATCCATTCTTGGACGTCCAATCCTTCCTCATAAACTCATTGACATTCCTTCCATCCAGTCTTCAATCTTCTTCATTTGACCTTCTTGTAGCTCAGGATCCCTCTTTGTTTCTTGCAGATCACCCTGCATCATATTCAACAAAGATTCAAGGCTTTTCTACAAGAATTCTACTTGTTACTCTATCCTGGTTGTAAGGCTCTTTGCAAGCTCCTACCAATTGATAAGACTGGATCAGAGATCTCAAAGAGAGAAGAAAGAATCAGGGAAGGAAACTCGTTGATATTCCAAGCTGTTAGAATAAGGAATGGTTACAGAAATAGGCTTCAAGAGCCTGAGATCTCCCAACCAAAATCTTAACAACTAACTGAATGATCTTGTTCCTTTAGTCAACCGTGATTCTATTATGTTTTACAGCTATTCATTTGATTGACTCTGTTCCGAAGGTCCTCAGGAATCACTCTCAGGCTCAGGGATGCTAAAATATCTAAATGATAGATAACAATTCCCTAATGTGACAAACTGACCGCATTTAAAAAGAAAACTCAGAACGAAGGCTTAGAAAATGAGTCTTTTGGGGGAGGCCCACCCAGAGGAGAGCTGGCAATGGGCTCTTGCCTTACTAAACTTAATGGGAGGTGCTAGAACAACCTTTTCCTGAAATGGGGATTCCAAGTCGTGTTGTTCTTGTTATATTTTAGTAGTAAGCATGGGCGATAACCTCGACTTGGGCCACCTAATTCAGTAGGCCCTTTTTTATTATTTCAAACATACACTTTGGTTTTCCTATTGAAGTTTGAAAATATATGGGAAAACAGTAATTTTTGGCTCACTAAGCTTTTTAATGGAATTTTGAGATCTAAAACTATCTCAAATAAGTGGAGAAAGAGTACTTTAGTTCCTATATATAAAAACAAGAGCAACATTCAAAATTGTGCAAATTATAGACATAAAACTTGAGTCACTATAAAATTATGGAAAATGGTAATTGAGCATAAACTAAGAAAAGAAATTAAGATTGCCAAAAATCATTTGTTTTATGCCAAGAAGGTTTACAATAAAAGTTATATATCTTTTAAGAAGGTTAATGGAAAATTACCAACACAAAGAAAGGGACTTGTGTAATTTTTATTGACTTAAAATAAATATACAAAGAGAAATGTTGTAGATTTTATAAATGAAAGGGATTCGTGCAGCATATATCTTAGTTATACCAAAAAGTGAGATAACTACAAGTGTGAAAAATCCTGAAAGCATGTCTAAGGACTTATCTACTTGGATAGCTTTATCACAAGGCTCAACTTTGAGTCCTTACTTATTTAACCTAGTCTTAAATGTGCTAATACAAAACATACAAAAAGTTATACCCAAATGCATATTTTTTTGTAGATAACATAGTCCTGATTGAGGAATTAATAAAAAAAAAAAAAACTCCAAACTTGAACTTTGAAGCAAACTTTGAAATCTAATATTATATGCCCAAATGCCTATTCAGTTTGAACGTTGGGCTTCACACATATGTCCAATCTTGTTGGGTCCACCCATGCAGATGTCCAGTCCTGCAAATTTCACGCACCAGATGTCAGGGGGTGTTAAGATGTCCTACATTGGTTAGGAATAGAGCCAGAATACTCCTTATAAGGGCTAGGGCAATCCTCCTCTTATGAACTAGCTTTTGGGAGTGAGGTAGGCCCAAGTTTCTTAACACATGAGATACTACCTAGTGCAACAATTATGAAGAGTACAACTATGACCGTTCTCTCGAGCATGTTAAACTCAATTGTATTAGGTTCTAATAAGAAGTCCAAGTCTTCAAGAAATAGAAGACTTATATTAGGTTCTAGTAAGTATTAGGTTCTAATAAGAAGTCCAAGTCTTCAAGAAATAGAAGACTGTGGAAGAAGGGATTATGCATATCTATTTAGATTAAGTGCTAAGCAATGATTAGTTACCACATTATGATGCATGTATAATCTGCATATCATACATACATGGATGAGTATCTAATTTTCTTCTATTCATACATTTAGTACTCATTTTAGCATATATTTTGTTTGTTAGAAAAGTTTTATTGCTTTTTATGTGTTTATCTTGTAGGCGAGTGATCCAAGAAATATGCTATCGTTTGGAGTGAAGGAAAAGCTTGAAAGAATGACAAAATAAGTAAATGTAAGGACTAGAAGAATCGAGGACCCCAGTTAGGCCATAAAACTAGCAATTTTGTGAACGAAATGATAGCCCAAAAGCAATCATGGCTTGCCCTTTCCCCGCCACAGTCATGGTTTGCATACAGCAAGAGCAATAGTCCAGAAGCAACCATGGCCTACCCTTGGTATCCACCAAGGCCATCGTTCAACTGCGGAACGTTAATAAAGGGATCTAAACGTGACCATACCATGGGTGTGGTGACTACATAGCTGTTGTTCTCACCCAGAATTCAAATTAGCCTTTTTAAAATATATTTTCTTTTATGGGTCCAAAAGTGTTTTAAACCCAACCTATGTAAAACCCTTTGAGGGTTCATTAGAGAGGGATTAGGCACTTATGGACGTCTAGAGACTCTCAAGACAAGATTAAGAAACAAAGTCATGATCATTGAAGGGAGTGCTCAAGGATTCAAGAACAAGGGTTCCTAAGGGGCGAAGATAGATTTCATTCTTCTTCCCTATTTTCTTTATTTGTACTTGGGATCGATTCTATAAAATGCTGAAAAGAAGGTTTTATTGTACTACAATAGTATCAATTATCTTTTATGGTAGTGAATGTTAGATCTTAAAAGAACAACACAAGAAAAAGGTGGAAGTAACAAAAATAAGAATGTTAATGTGGATGAGATAGTCATACAAGAAAAGACATAATAAGAAATTACCGTATGGGTGAGAATATTAGAGTAGTATCTATAGTGGAAAAGATAACTGAAAATTGTCTAAAGTGGTTTAATTACATGCAAAGAAGACCTTTAAAAGAACAAGTAATAAGAGTAAATGACATGACTTCTAGTCTGGTAAAAGAGGGTAGAGGGAAGCCTAGAAGAACTTTAGAAGAAGTTGTTAAAACAAATTCATTAATTAATAATATCTTTAAAATTAGCTTTAGACCGGGCTCAATGGTGTCATGTGATTAATGTAGCTGACCTCACTTAGTAGAAAAAGGCTTGGTGGTTGTTGTTGTTGCTGTTGTTATTGTTCTCGTAACTTCTATGTCTAGATTGTTAACAATGATTTGTAATTTGGTTGAGTAGCTTTTCTGTTTTAAGGATTGGGAATAACTCAAATTAGGAATGATGACAATATTTTGAATGTTTCCATGACCTTCTTGATTCAAATTTTAGTGCTCTTAATGCTTGTGAATTTGATGGATCCCTTATTTACATGATATTAGATGTAGGAAAGAACTGAAAAATGAAAATTTGATGTTGGAAACCCTAAAGTTAAACCTAAGATTTTAGGCTACGAAAGCATACTATGTTTTTTGAGGAATCATCAAATCAACACAGCTTACGGGTTAATCTAATTAACTATCTTATTGTATTCTGAAAGGGAACAATAATTAACTTAGGGTAACTTGTCTTCAAGATAAATCAATAATTAATACGTAATCTATTTCAATAAGTTTGTCAATTCTAATTTGTGAGAATATAATTCCTAAAAAGTTCTTAAAATTTTAATCTATTATTGTGTTCTCTAATTTCTGTCTTTTCATTTGTTCTTTATTTCATCTTATTAATTGGTTGTGTTTAAATAGTTAGATTGCAACTATCCAGTATTTAATAGCGCAGTCCCTGTGGAAATGATAACTTTTTATACTACTTGACATAATCATGCACTTTCGGCTCTATCACCATATCATTTTATGTCCCAAGATGTGCCAATTTATTCCATTCAAGTTTCAATGTCACTTTCAACTTAAAGATTTCTCTATGTAAATTAGCTATTATGCAGATGCGATATTTGCGAGTGTGCATTCCACTAAATATGTATGTGTGTATGGATGTAAGAAAGACAAAGAGAGCTTGAAAACCTGTAAAGATTTGCTTGGAGGCAGCTTAATATTAAAAGTAAACTCCTCATTCCATGTTGGCTCTTTTGTCCTGCCATCAATTAATTTTACATAAATAAACCAAATGTGTCCAGACATATTATTGGGATGTGTTCAATTGGACTATGAAATTTAAAAACAATTAACCTTACTTTAGCTAATGCACAAGTTTGAAAGAAAATGAAGATACTTCAAATAAAAAAATGCTTTCAGGGACAATATGAAAGATTTTTTAAAGAAAGGTCAAACAGTCACGCTGTACAAATTCTGCAGTGACGTTGACTGTGAACCCTTAAGACCATTAAAATTATTTTCAACCATTAGATGGTGGTCCCTTTGAAGAAGTGAAGTGGCTATAACAAAAATGAGATGAAAACTCACCCCCATTTGATATTGCTTTTAGCAGTCTGAGAATCCATCTGTATGACCACATATGGATCACTTGTTCCCTGGAAATCACATAAAATGAATGAATGTAAAGTAACAGAGATCAAAGAAAAATAAATAGTTATATGAATTAGCTAAAGAATTGGGGGCAATAGGGGTACTGTCATATACACAGCAAAGTAACAAGAAGTGCACATTTCATCTAATCACAGAACTACATTCAGGGCAGTAGATTTATTTATATAAGACCAACCCATGGATCCATGGCAGGGAAATTGAATCCTTTTTTCAACTTTATGAAGAGTTGACCATCATAAATTTCATGAATAAATTCCCTGCACACACCAAAAAAAATTCGTTAAACATGCCATTAGTTTAATAAGGAAGGCATTTGAAATTTAATACTACAACAACAAGAAGCTTTATTTGACTAGTAGAGGAAACTACATAGATAAATGACATCTGTTGGAATTGTATAAGAATAGTAATATTGTAAATAGGAAAATTAGTATCTTTGTAATTATGATAACTTCTTATTCTATATCAATGGTCCCTATTATAAATATATGTTTCAATGTGTAGTCAAAACACACAGATTCATCCTATGTTTCTTGTTCTTTTCTCAACATGGTATCTAGAACCTAACGTAAGATAATCCTAATTTGGTGTTCCAATTTGTACTTTATAAAGTGATAATGCTTGTGAATACTTATCTAATCAATTTTAAAATTTTATGCCTTCTAATGGTATTCTTTATCAAACCACTTGTGCTCATACTCCACAACAAAATGGGGTTGTTGAATGAAAAAATAGATATTTTATTGAAAGTGTTCACACACTATTGTGTCATAATCAAGTTCCGCATCATTTTTGGAGTGATGTTATTCTTACTGCGTGTTACCTAATTGATAGAATGTCAGCCTTACTTCTTCAAAACCAAGTCCCTCACTCTATCTTATACCCTCACTAGTCCCTTCCCTTTAACCCTCATGTCTTTGGGTCCACTTGCTTTGTTCATGACCTTAGTCATGGGCCCGATAAACTCTCACCACACTCTCACAAATGTGATTTCTAGGTTACACTAGGTCTCAAAAAGGTTATAAGTGTTACTCTCCAGCTCTTTGTCGCTATTTAGTTTCCATTAATGCTTTCTTTGAATGAGTTCCTTTCTTTACACTAATTCCTTCTGTTTTCTTCTCTAAGTCTCCTTCTCCTCCTCTAGCTTTTGTGCCTTTCCATTATCTTCTACCAGAACCATCCCATGTTTCCGCAACACCACCTCCTTCACGTCCTCTGCAGGTGTATCACCATCGCCAACCCCTCTTTGTACGTCCAATGTCTATTGGTCCTACTTCTAACTTGCTTCTGGTGCTACTCACCTCCAGACTTGCCTTCTGAGACTGACCTCCCCATTACTCTTCGTAAAGGTATATGTTCTACCCGTAATCTCCCTCCTCATTTTTTTCCTTTTTCCTATTATACTTGTTTGTCTTTCTTGTCCTCTGTTTCTATTCCTCAAGATACAGGTGGTGCTCTCTCTCTCAGTTGGAAACAAGCAATGATTGATGAAATGTGTTCTCTTCAAAACAGTAATACTTGGGACCTTGTTCCTCTTCCTCATTGGAAGTCTCTTGTTGGTTACAAGTGGATCTATACGGTCAAGGTTCATCTTGATGGTAAGATTGATCGCCTTGAGGCTTGTTTGGTAGCCAAAGGTTATGTACAGATATTTGGTTTGAATTGCGTGACACTTTCTCTCCTGTAACCAAAATGATATATGTCTGGCTACTGATATCTATAGCTGCTATCCGTCATTGACCTCTTTTTCAACTCGATATCAAAAATGTTTTCCTTCATGGTGATCTTGAAGAAGAAGTCTATATGGAATAACCTTCTGGATTTGTTGCTCAGAGGGTGTCTTTAGGACTTGTTTGTCGTCTTTGAAAATCCTTTTATGGTCTCAAATAATCTCCAAGGACATGGTTTGGCAGATTTAGCATGGTAGTTCAATAGTTTGACATGACTCAAAGTGAAAAAAAAAAATCATTATTTTTTTTCATCATTCAACTTCAGGTTGTATTGTCATTACAGGAAGTGATCACCGTGGCATTGAACTAGTCAAGCAACACCTTTGTTAGTACTTTCAAACAAAAGATCTCAGTAAACTTGGATATTTTTTGGAGATTGAGGTGACATAATCTAAAAGTTGCGTTGTGATTTCTTAAGAAAGTACGCAATGGATATCCTAGAAGAAACACGATTAATGAGGGACAAAAGTATTGATACTTCTATGGATCCTAATACCAAACTTCTGTCAAATCAAGGAGAGCCTTTAGATCCAGAAAGGTATAGAAGACTTGTTAAAAAATTAAACTATCTGACAGTTACTCTCCCAGACATCACTTTTGCAATCAATTTGGTAAGTCAATTTCTCAACTCTCCTTGTGATAGACATTGGGATGTAGTAATCCACATTTTGAAATATATTAAATGAGTTTTAAGAAAAGGTCTGTTAAATGAAGACCAATGTTGTCAAATGGCGGAAATGGCAATGCCATGGCAGAATTTTAAACCTGAAATTTTACTATGACAACCCTCAAATTGAATTTGATTTGGAAGTGACAAATGAGTTGTATGATTGTATCAAGAGGTTGGTGCCAAGTCGGGATGTGCAACAAAGCATACTACTTGAATTACCAATTTATAAGAGCGGTGGTAGTCTCTTTGAGTCCGACTTTGCAAAATCACAAAAAAAAAAAAAGCATTGCTCTTGGTAGTTCATCAAAATCTTCAATATTTTAATTTTAAGGTTATAATTCATTTTTAGAGTTATATTTATCTTTCATTTTATAGCTCAATGGTGGAGAATGTATAGACATTCAGCTCCACATTGACAGCAACTAGCTATCAAAATTTTGAGTTTGACATGTAATGCATCTGGATGTGAATGCAACTGGAGTGTTTTTGAGCAAGTAATTTCTTATCTCTCAAACCTACTACTTTCTTCTAGAAATTAGAAAGAAACTAATTAATATTCTTATAATTAAACTCACATTGCAGATTCATTCAAAGAAAAAAAATAGGCTTGATCACAAACAATTACATGACTTGGTTTATGTGAAATACAACCAACAACTCAAAGAACATTACAATCTTAAAGATGTAATTGATCCAATTACACTCAATAACATTGATGAGTGTAATGAGTGGTTGGTTGGAGAAATAGATGATGATGCTCTAGATGAGGATGCTGGAAATGACTTAATTTTTTATGGTGATCACACTTTAAATTGGGCAACTGTTTATGAAGCTTCTGAAATTGGAGAGCTTACAACATATAGTAGACGTCATTCTAAGAAAAGAAAGAGTCCATCAAATGGTATCACTATCAAAGCTGCAAAAGTTTCCAAGATCAAAGCATGTTCAACAGCAAAAGGAAAAGAGAAAATGGTTCTTAAAGATAATGATGAAGAATTAGAAGATGAAGAGATGTCGAAAGAAAAACAAAAATAATTAGAATTTAATCTTCTACAATCTAAGGGAGAAGAGGAGGAGGGTTATGCCTTGGTGAATGAAAAAAAGGATGATTATGATGAAGTTGAAGAAGATGACTAAATTGATAATTTTTGTTTTTATTAACTTGACATTTGATAATTGCATATTTTGTATTGAATTATACTTTGGATTGTAGGTTATGTTACATATATTTTGAGTTAATTATTTTCTATTATTTTCTATAACCTATAGTATTTTTTTATATATTTTATTATATCCGCCATAAATCCGCCATGTTGGCCACCATAACTTTACGACAGTTTTTTTTGTTTCCGCCATGAGCTACCATCCGCCATTGATAACATTGGTGAAGACAAAAGACATATTCAAGTTGTGGAGTAATTAGATGCAGATTTGGCAGGATCACCTAGTGATAGAAGTTCTACATCTGGCTATTGCATCTTTATTGGTGAAAATCTAGTTTCCTATAAAAGCAAGATATAAGGTCTAGTGCAGAAGTAGAATATGGAGCCATGGCTTTAGCCACTTGTGAATTTATCTAGCTTAAACAACTATTCAAAGAATTGAGATTTAAGAGAAGTTAGACAGACAACACTTATTTGTGATAAGCAAGCAACTTTACATGCTAAGTCAAATCCAGTTTTCCATAACAGGATTAAACATATTTAAATAGACTGTCACTTCATTAGAGAAAATATTTTATCCGGAAAAATCACTACTAGCTTTGTAAATTCCCATGATCAATTGGTAGATGTTTATACTAAGTCTTTAAGAAGTCCTTGAATTAATTATATAAAAAACTTGGTGCATATGATTTACATGCTCTACTTGAGGGAGAGTGTTAGAATTATATAATTATAGTAATATTGTAAAAAGAAAAATTAGTATCTTTGTGATTACGGTAACTTCTTATTCTATATCAATGATCCCTATTATAAATATATGTTTTGATGTATAGTCAAAACATTCGGATTCATCCTATGTTTCTTGTTCTTCTTTCTCAACAACATCATTGAATTGCTCTCTCTCTCTCTCTACTTATCTATCTACCATTCTATCAGCTCTAAGCGCAACTATGAAAGGCTGCTGACACTTACTCCGAAAGGTAGACTGTTTTGCAACCAGCAGCATCAACTTCACGCCTGCCCATGTTTTCCTGCAACACGTTATAATAGGAAGAAAAAGAAATGGATTGAAAATGAGTATGAATTCATCATGAGAAAAAAAATCATTACGTCCAGGGCAACATTCTGATCAATTTAGGGGTATTTACAAGAGCTTATGAAAATAGCTTATGTGATTATGTCTCCCATAAGTTTTTTTAACTTATTTAAATAATCTTCATAATCTATGACATAAGACATCATGTGAAAAGAGCAATAAGTGCTTAATTAAGACACTTCCCCAAATGCATTCTTATTCCGTTCTACTTGCAATCTAATAAAGAAATAGAAAGAAAAATACAGGGTCCTAGTCACATTCCTTATGTTGTGACAACTGGCCTCGTTAACTCCATATTTCTTAGCAAATACAAACAAATTAAAAAGAAATTGAAAAATAGCAGCATACTTATTTTCTTTTCAATCTTTCAAATCAAATCAATTATTTTAGAGCTACTAATAACTTAATATTAGCTTATTCACTACAGATAAAAAAAGTAATAATATATCAAATAAGTTCTAAATTCGACAATCATCATCAATTGTCCTTTAATTTGATAACCATCTATTGGCTTGATCCAGGATGTCAGAAATCATTAATTGACCGGCAACAAAGTCAAGGACCAAATTGACTAATTGGCAGTGAAGTTAGGAATAAAATGATTGACAGTTGTTAGAATTTGGGATCAAATTAACAAACACAGATAGTTGCCATGTTGAAGGACTAAATTTTAGGGACTAAAACACCGGCGATTGTAATTTCAGGATCTAGTTAACTATAAAAAGCAACAAAAAATTTTAAAAAAAAAAAAAAAAAACTCTTTCAGCATTTCAATTAAAAACTTTTCTGGACAAACAGCTTCACCATATACAACGTTTCGAATTAAGCCTCCCTCACAACACTATTCCCCGAAAGTTTCTTCCATTTTCTCCGTAACCTAGCGAAAACCACAAAAAGGAAAACATACAGGGGGAGTTGCGTAGGCCTCGAAGGCGAATCCCGCTAGAATAACCGCGAGATTGATATCAAAGGGAGGCCGTTCATCGTTTTCCGGAACAGCGACTCTCTGAAGCTGGGAACCAGTATTGGAGGAGCAGCAAATTGAGAGAAGTTGCTTCCTCCCTGCGAAGGAGAAAACGCGCAACTTTGCGGGAAAATGAGACGGGAAAGTGCGAGAAAATCTTGGCCCGGTGGAGTGCGGAAGCGGAAGTTTGGACGAAAGAGGAGAGAGAATGTAACGGAACTGAAGAGAAGCCATGTTACTTTACATTCCACGGACGAGAAGAGAGTGAGAGATTATGGTTGAAAACAAAGAAGAAGAAGGTGCGAGAAGACCGAAAGAAGACGGAAAAAAAAGAGGTAGTGGCAAATCGTGTAATTTTGAATGCAAGGAAGGGGTAAATGGTTGTGAGAATAGATAGTGGCTGAAAGTGTACGGCCACCAGAACCGAAGAATGCTCGGTTCGGGTAACGCTGGTTGGTTCTGGAAAACATGTAGACGCTTCTGTCAACGAAAATTCATATATAATGAAAAACGATTCTTTAAGGTGTACCAAAGGATATATAATTAAAAATATTAAGTTATGTAAATTTTAATAAAAAATTATCATATACAACTTTTTATTGTGTATTTTTAATATATATTAAAATTTTATTTTAAAATTGTATTTTTCTTATCTAAAAATCTTTCTTATAATACAGTATGAATTTAAAAATGAAAAGAACCTCAAATAATGAAAATAAATATTTAAAAAGACTAAAATAAAAAAATTACAAAAATGAGGAATAGAAATATATTTAAAATTATATTATACTTCAATCTAATTTTAAAGTTATATTAGTATATTTAAAATATTTTTAAATTTTTTTTTAAGGTTAAAGATTATTCGATGTTATAAGCTCAAAAGTTTTAAAATTAATCTGTATTTTTCAATCAAGCTTTTGTTATTCAAAATATTCTGTCTAAATTTTGTCAAACTTCTAGTTTTAAGATTAATTTTGGAAAGTCTTTCTTTTTTTTCTCCAAAAATACATATCATCATCTTTGACATCAAATCACTAAGGTTCTGAGTGTACATACATCTAGTCAGTAATAAATATTTGAGTATCTCTATAAATCACCTTAAGTCCTTTAAAAAATAATTCTCTTTTTTTGTTGACAAAGTTAGGAAAAAACTTTTCCTTCAAAAAATGTCTTCCCTCTCCATAGCTCAATCTTGTCTCATGAGTATCTCTTCTTATGTTATGCAATCTACCTCCATTATGTTATGCAATCTACCTCCATTCCTATTGTAATGTGTAATAAGATTAATAGTCTTTGTAAGAAATTCATTTGGGATCTCTAAGCGAAAGAAAATGCCACCTAGTTGGTTGAAATAAAATCTGTAACCCTAAAAATGAGGGTGGATTAGGTTTCAGAGATCTTCATATGTGGAATAAAGCTTGTTTAATGAAGCTTTGTTGGAGGATCTACACCTTCCCAAGTGATCTCTAGGTTCAAGTGTTGTGTAGAAAATATAAATTTTCTATTCGTCAAAATTTGAGGTCTTGGTCTAATACTAAACCCTCTCCTCTTTGGAAGGATATATCTTCAGTTTAGCCTCTATTTTCTAAAGTCTAAACAAACTAATGGATCCCTAACTATCTACTCTAGAGTCTCTTTCTTTGCATCCTATTCCTGAAAAGGAGTAAGTAACCCTGTTTATCTGTATACTGACAATGGTCATTGGGATACAATCAAGTTTAGCTCTCTGCTACCTAATCATATATGTGGGAAAAATGTGAAAACTAGTCCTCCCACCTTTCAGGTCAACCAAATTCAGTTTCTTGGACTTTGTCTCATAGTGGTGTTTTTTCGATTAAAACAATCTATTAGTTGATTTCTCAGACCATCATCCTCCTTCCCTTGTTTTGAAATTTTTAAACTTGTCTAGGATTGAGTTGGCCCTCTTAAAGTAAAGTTTTTCCTTTGAAAAATCTTTCATGGTAGGTTGTTCACTAATGAAGAGAGGGCTAAGAGAGGGTTGACTATTGTTACTTCTAGTCCTAGATATGGTGCTGATATTGAATTTGTTATGCATGTTCTGCGTGATTGTTTGGCTAGAAATTTTGGGATCATTTTATTTTTTTAATCATTGGGCTTGGTTCTTCTCTTCAAGTTTGTCTTATTGGATTCTTAAAAATTTGTCAAATTCATACTTTAGTCATTTTAATAATTGGCAACGACTGTTTGACTTTATTACTTGGCATCTCTAGAAAGATAGAAATACTTTTGTTTTTAATAATGGCTCTGTCTAACCCTCTGTTTTAATTTAAAAAAATTATTTGTGATGCTGAGTTTCAAGGATTATCCTAAGGTCAGATAGGTTTCTCCTCCAAGGGGTGAGCTGAAGCTAAATTCTAATAGGGCTATGTGTGGCAATCTGGATAATGTTGCATGCGGTGGAATTTTCCAAGATTGGAAGGGCAATTTTGTGGTTGGATTCTACTACTCTCTGGCCCCCTGCTCTCTCTTGGAAGCTGAGCTATAGGGCATTATCATGGCATTCAAATCCTCTTCCAAATTTTTGTTCAGTCTGTTTGGTGGATTGAGTCAGATTCTCATATGCTTATATTCAATTCATTCACCACAACTCCTGTCCTTTGTATCATGTTATTTGTAAAATTAGGGACAATATTAAGCTTGTTAAATATGTTAGGTTCAACCATATTTTCAGGGAAGCCAACCAATCTGTGAATAGACTAGTCAAAATTGGCCTAGAGTCGTTTTCCTCCTTAGTTAAATTAGATTAGGCTCTTTATGACTTGCCTCCATCTTTAGTTTTAGACTCATGTGGCTCTTGGCTTCCTAAGCTCTCTACTTAGTTTGTTGTGTTTGCCGGACTATTAGTCTCCTTTCTTAGAAAAAAAAAAAACTAATCTTTATTAATGATTCATACTATCACTAATATTATATATCAAATTTAAACATAAAACTTCTTGTTAAATAAATTAACCACGAGTATGTGAAAGTTGTATAACTTTACACAACAATGCAAATTTTAAGGTTATCATTTTAATTATTTTGAAGATGTAAAGTTAATTATTATTTTTATATTACTTATATATATATATATTTTAAATTTTCACATTTAAGTATTTAATAGTTTAAATTTTTTAACATAATGTGACTATAATTATAAACTATTTATAAAAATATTTGATAAAAAACATAAAATAGAATGGAGGTTAGAGTAATTTATTGTAAAATAAAAATAATTTTGTGTTAATTCTAAAATAGAGAGAATATTTTATAATTGTAAAATAGAAGAAAGTTTAGAGTAATTTACTCTAAAATTAAAGAAAGTTGTGCCTAAATTTTTAAATTATATATTTTAAAAAATACAAAATAAAAAGAAATTTAAAATATTTTACTCTATTTACATTGCATTTTCTTATGGGCTATTTATATTGTATTTAAAATTATATTTACAAAATATTGTAATATGTTTGATTCTTCTTTAAGATAAGTTGTATAAGCACACTTATGATAAAATATTAGAGAAAAAAGAGGTAAGTTAAAAAAAAAAAATTGAAGTATAAAAAAGGAGTTTTGGAAACAAAAATGTATTAACATTAATAATAAAATTTTGAAATAAATAACAGTGAGAAAAAATAAATCTCCAAGGTAAAAGAAAATTTAAAAAGATAATTAATAATATACTAATGTTTTACAACATAAAAAAAATTCTTCTTTTAATGCTAAACCGTAGACAAGAATAAAGTTACTAGTTATTAGATGAAGGATATGTTCTCAAAATTTTAATTATTTAATAATAATAATAATAATAATAATAATAATAATAATAATAATAATAATAATTATTATTATTATTATTATTATTATTATTATTTTATGAATTTGATGGAGTTAATTAATTATTTGTAAGTACGGATTTGTTTTATTTTTTTATTAATTTATTTTAAAATAAATTTTATATAATTTAAATATAAAAATATAAAGTAATAAAACTTTATTATATCAAATAATATTAAATATAATTACGGTGTAAAGGATTATGAAATGTTTCTTTAAACACATTTTCTTTATAATTTAATTTTAGTAATTTTTAATAAATTTTATTCAATAAAAATTTTCGATTTGAATATGATTGGTTCTCCAAGCTGATTGCCAAACCCAAAATCATGCAAGGATTCTAACAAATTCCCTCTTTTCACAAGGCAGCGGCGGCAGCAGCAAAGTGTAAGTGCCTTTCGTCGCTTCACTGTCAGTACGTCTTTTGAATCGAATTAACAAACAAAACCCACAAAACCTGTTTTGGATCCATTTTTTCATCACTAATTTATTTCGATTTTGTGTAAATCAATGTGTTCCCATAAGACTCTTTTGAGAATCATCAACAAAGGTGTGCCCTCTCCTCCAACCCAACAACAACTTCAACTTGCCCATAACATAATCCACAACCTAACCAATTCCAAATGTTTCAATTTCAAACCCAGCGTGGAACTTCAGTCCATGATCTCCTGCATCACCCCCCACGTTACCTACCATGTTCTCTCGGACCCCACTCTCCCACCTCACTATTGCTTGGCCTTTTTCCACTTACTCCCAACCCACTCTGCACCCAAACCTGACCTTAAGGCCCACATGATTCTCCTTTATAGGCTCTTCGAAGCTCGAAAATTTGCCTCAATGAGGAGCATTTTGAATTGTGTTGTCAATGATGTGGGAACTCGGTTCCCGGTTAGGAATATTTTTTCTTTGGTTGATGAATGTGAGCCCCATTTTGTTGAGAAGCTGTGTGATATGTTGTTCAGGTTGTGTGCTGATAAGAGGTTGTTTAAAGAGGCTTTTAAGGTATATGGTTATGTGGAGGAAAGGGGGTTGGTAATAGAGGAGAGGTCTTGCTTTGTGCTTTTGCTTGCTTTGAAGAGATGTGGTGAGGTGGACTTGTGTCTTAGCTTCTTTCGCAGGATGGTTGAGTCGGATAGTGTTGAAATTATGGTGCAGTCTTTGACTGTTGTGATCAATGCATTGTGTGGGAGAAGAGGTGTTAAGAAAGCCAAGGAGTTATTGGTTGAGATGTCGGATAAAGGCATAGTGAAACCAACTGCATTTACTTACAATACTTTGTTGAATGCGTATGTTGGGAGGAAGGATCAAAGGGGTGTTGATGAGATTCTGAGACTGATGGAGAAGGAGGGAGTTGTTCCTAGTTTGGTTACGAATAGTATTTTGATTCAGTGGTATGCAAGCTCTGGCAATATTGGGGAAGCTGAAAAGATATTTGATGAAATGCACAAAAGAAACATGGAAATGGATGTTTATATCTACACATCGATGATAAGTTGGAACTGTAGGGTAGGAAATATTAAAAGAGCATCTGCTTTGTTTGATGATATGACTCGGAGAGGCATTGTTCCTAATACTCATACCTATGGTGCATTAATTAGTGGTGTATGCAAGGCAGGCCAAATGGGGGCTGCGGAGATCTTGTTAGAAGAGATGCAAAAAAAGGGAATTGACCTAAATATAGTAATATTTAACACGATGATGGACGGTTACTGTAAAAGAGGAATGATAGATGAAGCTTTCAAACTGCAAGTTGTCATGGAAAGTAAAAGATTTGAACCAGACGTGTTTACATACAATATTCTTGCTAGTGGGCTCTGTACATTGCATAGGTATGAGGAAGCCAAGAGGACTTTAAATAGTATGGTAGAGAAAGGAGTGGCTCCAAATGTTGTGACGTCCACTACATTTATTGAGATATATTGTAAGGAAGGAAACCTTGCAGAAGCTGGGAGGTTGTTTAGGGATATGGAGAAAAAAGGAGTGGTGCCTAATAGTGTTACATATAATACTCTAATAGATGCATATTGCAAGAAAGAAAAATTAAATCAAGCTCATATTTTGAAAATTGAAATGGTGCAGAAGGGGTTACTGCCAGATGTATATACATACACATCACTAATACACGGGGAATGTATTGTTGGTAGGGTAGATGAGGCACTGAATCTTTTCAATGAAATGTTGCTAAAGGGCATGAATGGGAATGTTGCAACATATACGGCAATTATTTCTGGTTTATCCAAGGAGGGGAGAGCAGATGAAGCATTTAAGTTGTATGATGAGATGATGAGAATGGGTCTAACACCAGATGATAGAGTTTTTGCTGCACTTGTTGGTAGCCTCCATAAACCCGCTTCTCATTCTGCTGTCTTTAAAACAAAATAAGTATGGGGAACAAAAGTAGACACTTCTGATACCTTGTACTGATCAAATATGGTTTATCAATTTCACATGGAAAGGCAGTACTTACATTCATGGATAAGATTGAGGTCATGATTTTGTCCTTGCATGCAAGCTAAAAAAAACCTGTATGGTGAAAATTCATCTTCCACATTACCAAATCAGTGCTTGGGAGCACAAATATTCTGGTGTTGGGTAATATACAAATCTTGTCTTTTTTCTTGTTTTTTGATAAATTATACATTCCTGAGTTTGGTGATTGTAGACTTTGCTGGAGTTGTTTACAGAAGTGGTCAGAGAGAGAAAGAGGCTCTAGATACCAACTAAAACTCTTCTAAATATGTGAAATTTCCTGGGAAAATTCCTGATAGGCCACATAAATTGATATTTAAATCTGATTACAAAGTCATCACGTCTTCATTTTACTCAAGTTGTTTGAGTGGTTCTTGATAAGCAAATTTATTTGATTACATATGTAGTTATTCTAAGATGTGTATGGTTATGGTAATTAGAAAATAAATTTGGTTTGTTCTCCTGATTTGTACATATAATTTCTTTTTTTTTTTCCAGAGAGCTAACTCAAGAAAATAAACAGGCAGCATGATAATGAAACAAGTATATTCCTATAGGTGTTTTAGAAATCTGAAGGGGAGACAGAATTTAATGAAAACTAAGTTTGTATTACTAGGAGTTACAGGTTTTGATAACTTTAAGATCTTATGTTGAGTTTGGAATAGGATTGTTGTCAAGTTTTCAGTGCATGGATTGAACTTTTAGTATAAGTATGAAATAGTCACTAAATTAAAATGAAGGTACTTTTTTTAGAAATTATTGATAATAATTTATATATTTGATTTCATAAATAGCATTTTAGGAGTCGAGGCACCATAAATAAAGTAGTCTTTTAATATTATAAACAACTCTGTCTCTTTGATTTTGTTGTGTCTAATCTTTGATTGCATCTCATTTCCAGAAAAGCTTGAATCAAACTTTAAGAAATGAATTTTTGATTTGAGTAAAATTTTATAAAAAAATAATTTAGTTTCTTTTATTTCAGCGACCAATTAATTAGTTATTATTACTTCAAGTGAATGAGGTTTTACAAATATATTGATATCCAGACAAATCATGTTAGTGTAATGAAAGATCATTCTTGCAAAAAATGTTAATTACCACCTAAATTTGTTGGCTAAATATGTAGAAGAGAAGTTTTTAATATTTAAATCATAAGAGGGAGAGATGTTCATGTCAATACTAACAACAGAAAGTTGATACATAAAATATTGTTTTTAACTTTTGAATTTAAAATTGTAAGAAAAATAATAGATTTAATTAAAATAATATATATATATATATATTAATACTAGTATTTTTAACTCATATACTATAAGAAAGTATTTTATCAAAAATACAAATTTTTGAAAAATTATTTTAATGAATTAAATATTTATAATGTATATAAATTTTAAAAGAAAGAATTTGAATAAAAGATAAATAGTTACAATAAAATTTTATAATAAATAAATATACATGTATATTAAAAAAAATTATACTTTTTATCTGAAAAAATTAACAAATAAAAATTAACAATAATTTTTTATATTTATATCTTTTCAAAAACTTCTTTGAACGTGAATAAATAGTAAAAATAATATTATTTAGATTTAATAGATTATAGTTGTGCTTGTAATACATATGTTGCATAGAAAAATATTATTTAAATTAAAATATAAAAATAAAATTTAAATATTATTAATAAATAATAAATTTACTGTAATAGTAAGTGATTATAAAATTTATAAAATATTTATAATATATTTATTATTTATCATTCACTTTATGATTTAAACATCAATATGATTTTATTAACAAAAATATTTGTGTAAAAAATATTTTATGTGTTTCATATATAAATAATATTTAAAAAAAAGTCAATCTCATATTAACTATATAATAATTAAATTATATTAGCTTAATTAAATGATATAAAATAGTAAATAAATTTTTCTATTAAAAATGTAAACTAAAATAAATTTTTTAGTTTATTTTATTATTAAATATATTTTAATATTAATCTTATATAACTTCACATAAGTAATATAATAATACAAAAATTCAATGCATAATTATAAAATAAAGTTCAAGCATATATATATATATATATATATATATATATATATATGCGGATATGGGGCGAGGTGAGTACTGTACTTAGATATTCATACCCGCACCCATCCCCATTAAAATTTGCGGGTTTTTACCTATACCCGTATAGCGGATAAATACTCTACCCTTTGTGGATAAATTTTGCAGGTGTCCATCAAGTACTTTACCCATTGTCATCCCTAAACATTACCGACCCATGTAGAAAAAACAAAAAACTCTACCGAACTATGCAAAGGCTCTTAAAAGCCTTGTCTTGAGGCTTTTAAAAATTATAGTTACAAAAAAGGCCTCTAAAACTAATATAATTATTAATAATTTATTATTTTAAAATAAATATTATTAATATTATTTTTGAAGGTGTAAAATCTTAAATTTAGAAAATTGTATTTAGAAGTGTAGAGTTTTAATTTTAAACACCTATATTTTGGAATGGTTAGTAATTGCACAAATTAATTTTTGAAAGTGTAAAAATTGAATTTTAGAAATTTATTTCTGAAATTGTAGAGCCCTAATTTTAAAAATTTATTTTTGAAAATAGTTAATCATTTAAAATTTAATTTCTGGAACTGTAAAAACTTAATTCTGAAAATTAATTTACAAGAGTTGTAGAATCCTAATTTCAAAACTTACTTTTGGAACTTGATAATAATTCTTGAAATTAATTTCTGGAAGTGTAAAATCCTAATTTTGAAAACTTATTCAATACCGACATTGATAAGTTGATAAATACTGACGAAGATGCCATTTTCTTATAATAAATTTAATTTTTTATAGTCTGTTTAAAAAATAATAAAAATATTTGAAGAATAGAATTTGAAGATGAAGAAGAAAAGAAAAAAAAGAAGAAAAAAATATAAGAGAAAGAGAAGGTAGAAGAGAAAGAGGTGAGAGAGAATGCTGACAGAAAATATGAGAGAAAAGATGAACATTATGTGAACAATGATAGAAAAATATAAAAAAAAATGAACAAAGTTAAGTTTTTTTTAAAAGAAAATTTGTTAGAAGCAAGTTAAAAACTAGTAGAATAAAATAAATTAAAATAAAGTTAAAGATGAAATTGAAACTTTAAAGTTGGAGGTGAAAATATAGTCTTTATTTTTTAATTTATATTTTTTTAAATAACTATAAAATAAAAACAAAACATAAATAAATAAAATTATGCTAAAATTTTTATTTCATCATATGATTTTTAAATATTTTGTTATAAATAAAGATGTAAAAAAAAAGAATAAATAACTACATTACTAAAAATTAGATAAATTAAAATGAATAAGGTAAAAATATAAAAATAGAATAAATCATGTTTAATTTGAATAGTTTTAAAAGCTAAAAGGATATGATGAAACAATTAATTTAATAAAGCAAAATGAGATATATAAACAAAATTAAATTAAATTAATTAAGAAGTAGTTTGTACAATATTTTTATTTTTTATCTAATATAAATAATAATTTATAATGATAAATAAAAATTAAATGAAGTTTTTTTTATATTTATAGTTCAAAGAATTGAAAAAGAATAAAACTTGTATTCCTATTATTAGATTCATGAAAATTTAAAGATGTTTAATGCCTTTAAAATAAAATAATTTTAAAGTTTTCAATTATATCAATAGAGCAAAAATTAAGATTTTTATCTTAACAATTTATTTACTTCATATTATATATATACATATATATAGACTTAAAACATAAACAACATCGCTTTTTACGAAGTAAATTTCTATCTAAAATTTGTATGTAAATTAAAATAAAAAAATTAACTTTTAATATTACAAACACTTCAAATTAATGGTTACAACAAAATTTACCAAAGTGTTACAAATTCTAAACTTAACATTAAAATAATTATATAACTTTATTAATTTAAAATAGAAGCCTAATAAAATAATACACTTCAAATAATTCAAATTTTATTGAGCAATCTTTCCTCACAATATCATCGGATTATGATTCTAAAACTCACAATATCATCGGATTATGATTCTAAAACTGACCAACTTTCTTTTAATTCTCTTCGATTTTGTCTCTTGAAAATAATTAGTAAATGTGAGTATTCTCCGCCCCACTAAATCTTTTATTTGATAGAATAATTGAATGATACAAAAAATATTATCTAACATAATATATAATATATTAGTTAAAAATAATTCATGAATTATACTAATGAATTTCACAACAACACACACACACACACAATCAATAACATTTGTAATATTTATAACATACATTTCTACACCGATCTATATGTCATAATATATATATATATATATATATATATTATATCATATCAATCAATATATCACAATATATGTGTCCTAATTATACCTGTCGATGTATTACAACACATATATTTTAATAACATCAATCAATATATTACAACACATATATTATAATCATACAATCGCTATATTATATCACATTTATCACAATTCCACCATTATTGCCTCTGGGATCTCTTAAGATCTTCCATAGGTATAGATAGTTGCTAGTTAGCAGCTGCAACATGGATACATGTGTCAACCGACCTCTTTTAGTAAAAGTATGGTCAAGAGTTTAGGTTAGAAAATAAGTGTATGGCCTGTGATGATTTTATTCTCATTAATTATACGTAATCAAAGAAAACATTCACTACCCTCATTTCTCCAAAATTTTCAAAATTGTCTCTGTCTTCCACACCTCCAGTATATCTTTTAATTATCTATATATATTCTCAACATTTCTCATAGTATTCTCTAATAATACATTTTTCCTTCTCATCGTTCGATTAAATAAAATATGTTTAATATTTCATGCATTCAGCCTTAGTTTAATTCACATATACATAATAAAATACATTTCCTCATTTAAAAATAGTCAAATGTTTCTTATCAATCACTTACATCAGTGATAAGTTTGTAATTAAATTCTCTTTTATAGTCCATATATTTATATTTGACCTTTATTTTATTTGAGTTTTACATTAATTTCTATATTAAGTATACAATTTAGTATAAAGAGGCCATAAGTGGGTTTTGAGTGCGTTTTGGGCCCAAACTGATGGAAAATTAGGGCTTTGTAGTAGTCAATAAGCACGTGAGTGCTTCGAGTCTAATTAATGAAGAACTTCTAGGATTTTTAAACCTTATTAAAGAGAGACTTCAGGCACCAAGTTAGACATCTTATTTTTTTGCTTTTCGATACACTTTTCATCTCGTCTCTCTTGTATAGGATTGTTGGCATATTCTTGGTGGGA